CCCATATGTCTGTCGCAGTGGATCTTCACCGTATTTGCATTTTAGAGGACAGACCTGGGTTGATCACCACATGGAAGTAACAGTTTGTGCCACCTCCTGAAAACCTGGCTCTTCAAGCAGAGCCTGCAAGATGGACGCAACCTCAAGAACAATTTCTGCTTAGCGCAGAGGAATTTACTATTTCCTACACTTGTCCACACTTGTTTCTTTACTAGTGCTTTCTATGTGCCTGTATCCATTGCAATCTCTGATTTTGCTAAAAGGCTTCCAAGATTTTTCAAAGCAACATGGATACATTGTCCAGAAGCGCCAAACGTCTGTTGCGGTGAGATTTTCATCAGTCAACCACGCATATGATACGGAGGGCAGTAAGTACCAAGCACCTTATTGTCATTTGCATAACGCACATCTGAGATGATGACAGACCACCTGGAAGATTCTGTGTGAGCTATTAATCCCATTCGCTCCATAGAGAGAGGCTCTAGCTGTGAAGTGAAACCCAGCTGGAAATGGCAGGTTTTGAGCAACGGTATTTGTGTATTTGTTCCTTGAGGCACAGAAGGGCACCTGCTTGGTTCCCTTTTAATTATGGGTATATTCATTTCAGCTTGCGGCGTAGCTCTTGTGGAATGGTTATTTGCCAGAACATGAACTGCAGCCATGACACAAGCACCTAACAGTAAAGTTAAGGGGCAGCAGAGCAATTATGGCAGGTGACACAGGAAAGAAAAAGATTTCCCGTCCATCATCTGTCTGCCTGATCCTCTGAGCAGCTAAAAATTGACCAAATATACCTGTCTGAACCACCCAAGGGAACGTGGTCAGGTTAAGCTCGTCATCCTTGCATCACCTCCTTTCATTTCCGTTTGGCTTCTAGAGGAGGCTGCTGGCATGTTGCTCACAAACTGGACTTTCAGAGGAAAGGCACTTGTTGAGGCAATTAAAATTTTTCCCTCCCGTTACTAGATTGTTTCATGGAATCGAGCAGCAGGCTTTTCAAGCCCGTCTTGGTTGGTTTATGTTTGTTTCTGTGTATTTCTTGTCACTCTTCCATTGAAAAGTTTTTGTTTTCCCTACTTCCCTTTCCCACCCCAACACCAGTTTTTGAGTGTTTTAAAGATTCCCTAGTGTGATATTAACACTTCCCATTGAGTAAAACTTTGTTCTTGACTATGTTTGTTTAGAGTTTCTAGGTGAATAGCTACTTCCCTTCAACAGGTGAGAGAAACTGACTATGAAGGCAGTACGCGTTTCATTTGGGGTCTTCCCAAGAGCCCCGTACCTTCTGGCACAGGCCAGGTCTTGAAATACCTATCACTGCATACAAGGAATTTTTTCATAGACTATTTAAGTGGTTAGCATGCTGCCCTCAGCTCTGACCCAGCCTGACTCAGGTAACCCCAGCGGTGCAGCAGCTGTCAGCAAGATCTATAAAGCAGCTGCAAGAACATCTCTCAGGCTTTCATTCACGCCTTGAAGAGCTTGTACTGGTGACTCTTAGGAGGGGGCCATCCTTTCATCTTCATTCTTTGAAATGTGTTTTTGAGGGGTGCCACCTGCAGTTGCCCACAGTGTGAATGCATGTGATACAAGTACAGATCTGAGAAAAATTATTTACCCTTAGCTGGTTTTCAAGATGTATTGCTAGGTATATGTCTTCACAGCCTTTTCCTTTTCTTGCCCTACTCCAAGTCCCTTCCATGTTTCCACGTCTTGAGTTTAGAGGAAGCAAGAGGAAAGGATCTACTGTGCCCTTCGTGCCGTGTCTCCTAGAGATCCTGCCGTAGCAGCAAATGTTCTCTGTCAGCGTTGCTTGACTATCTATAGGCAGTTCATAGCGTGAAGGTGCATTCAGCGTGCTTATCTTCAAGATCTACAGGTAAGAACCCTCATGTTCCTCTTCCAGAGGAACATGTACGAAGAGTATGGACTTTGGAAGGACGTCATATGTCAACAAACGTAAACTATTTGAGGTAAGCAACATCTCTTGGAGGATCTCAAGGAAAAAAGCATACCGTTTTCTGTTGATGGGATGGGCACAGCTGTCAGTAACAAGACCCTATACTATTCCTCAAAGAGGAAAAAAAATCTTTCTCTTGCAACCGCAGTGTGCATTTTGATACCTGTAATAATCCAAATTAAATGCTTGTTTTAACCAGTTGTTCAGATCATCGCAGTGAAGTGTTTATGTAAAAACCCAAACAAAATAACTGCTGCAAATTCTAAAACACTGCTGGCGAGGATACTGCAAAAATGTACAGCATTTATTCACATACAGACAAAAAGGCACAATTCTACTGAATATTTTAACAAAAAATACAGCTGTCTTCAACTAGGTCTTTATAAATACTTCAAAAAAGGGAGAAAATAAATACAGGATTGGGCCATGTAATATAAAATAGTTATCTCTACATATACTTTTTATTTCTATCTGTTTCTCTTCATGCACCTTTTTTAATTAATTTCAGCTGAATGGACACCGAAGCTAGGCACATAGTGAAAAATCTTCTGTACAAGGTTTTACAAATGTAATGACAATTTTCTCAAATTTCTGAAATTAAGATTTATACACAACACGTATAACCCTTCATTTAACTTGTGTGAGTTTATAACCTAACAAACGGCATTCCAGGCAACTTTACAGAAGTTCAACTAGCCTACAGGTTGACAGAATACACCAATCATAATCAAAGATCTCTTGGTCAGTCTGCACAAGGAAAGGTAATGCTTAAAAACAGAAATTCAGCAAATGGTTCTATCCCAATAAAATACAGGGGTGGGTTTGTATCATCACTGCTGTACTTACGACACCTCTCCTGCTGAGCGCTAAGCATGGGAGACAGAACTAACCTACAGAGCTGGTCATACTGCAGTCTTCTTACAGCTTTTTTGGTTTTGGTTCAGCTTAACTTGAAACATTAGAAAGCTTATTAACCTAAACGTTGGGGAGCAAAACAGATAAGGCATTAAGTCTGCACAACGTTAGCATTCAAAATAGTGCAAATTAACAAGGTACCTCTTCCAAACTGGTGTGAGGTTAAATGTTTACTTAGAATCAAAATTTAGATTATTTCAGCTATGGCTTGACAAACAATTCCCTATATGGTCATCAGCTTCTTTCTTACAGAAAGTAACAGCGCCTGTCTGGAAAACTGTGCTGTATGTCAAGTAGAACCTACCTGCATTTACCTTTTGTCTGTCTGTTGTTGTTTGATCAAATAAGCACTTTTTTCTTTTAACGCATCCCAAGAGTGACTATGTAATTTCAGATTCACCCTGTTTGAGTTTCACCTCTCTAAGTCATGAAGTTAATCTAACTTCTTGGGACCAGCAATGGGATTTTAAAAGTATGCTATCATCTTACACAAAATTCCCCTTCCTCAACATCATCCCGAAAGGTATCAAAAAGGTTAAGACTCCAAAGCTTTAAAACAAATGATAGGGATGCATTCTGTTGCAGTAGTTAATTAAGTGATAACTTGCATAGCAAGACAGGGTGTCAACAAGCCTTTTTTTTTTTTTGTCTTTGTTTTGATTGAATCCTCTGGAAGACTCAGTTATGGCAGATTTCTACTGTTTTAAATGTTCCCTGCTCAAGAGGCAAGGGTCTAACACGAAACAGTGAGTGGATGTGGTAACAGCAGGCTAGGAGTAGGGAAGGGGGAGAAGGGGGCTCTTTATGCCTGTCTTTCTGTAACACACTGCTGCTTAAACTTTTTCACCAGTACCTACCCTGACTTACATCTATGCAGAATTCCAAAATTTACAGGCTCCTAACACTCCACTGTTATATGTGCCCTCTACTCGGTACAAAACAGTATCCTAATGATCTGTTAATATTATTGCTCATAGCTTACTAGTTATTGCCATTTGCACTTATTAAAAAAGTACACAATCAGAATATGAGTTCCCTCTTCCATCAAATCTAGTCCAGAATAGAATGAAATATTTTTTCTTCATTTGACTGTAAAGAGCTAATCACAATTTATTGCCTTTCCATTTTATTCTATTTAAAAATATATATTCTTGTCCACTTTAAAGCAACCCTTTAGTGTCATAAGCCTGGCTTTCCCAATACGTACCATTAGTGCATATGTGGTGGGCTTTGGGAAATCCTACTGACTAGTGCCTTAGAAATGTTTGTCTTGAATTGTCATCGTACTCCCGGAGGCAGGTGACTGACTAAACGGTGACGGGTTATTCCACAGGGTGCAGTAGCCCACAAGCCTGCCCCCTTTCTTAGAACTGAGCCGTTCCAGAGTGTCCTCCGTGCTCGGTCTGAGTCTTTTTGAGCTGTTGCACTGTAAGGCAGCTGCAGCCCTGACCTGTCCCTTCCTCCTTCTCCAGTATAATGTCATGGTGAAATCTGGTCATCTCGTAGGTGTATTTATTTACATGTAAACTCTGGAGCTTACGGAGGGGTTTGAGCTGCCGTCTACGCTCAAAGTGAATGCAACAGAAAACATTCTGCAAATGGAGGAGAAAGACCTACCACCATCCAAGGAAAGTGACCATTTGTAATGGGCTTCAGCAGTGCAGTATGGTTAAGCAACCATCTTCGATTCAGTACACACTAGTTAAATTAAGAGCTTGTGCTTTTCCAGAAGGCAGGGGAAGGGAATAAAATTTTATCAGTGCTTTTTAGCTAAAAGGGATGAACACAGCCTACTTCCCCCTACCCACCCTAGCCCCTTCTAAAAGGTTTCTGAGAGTTACTTTAGTGTTCATCACAAATCCTATTTTAGTAGTGATGTAATTTCTCCGCTTACTCAGGGAAGTTGCAAATAAAGGAGATTCAAAATTTTTGCGGGGGCAAAAAAAAACCAGCTTTAAGTGCATGTAAACATGTTTATACAGCTCAGGAATAATGGGTTATCAATTTTGTCAGTCTGTAGCCATGTCTAAGAACTCTCCTTTCTCACACCAATAAATAATGTGGAGTTGGCTTGTAGGCAGTGACTCTACTGACCACGGTGCTGACACCGTGTCCCTGTGTCCAGTCAGGATGCCAGGATGCTTCTCCTAATAATGTCCGTCCTTCTGCTGATAGTGCTGTTTGGACTGAGCCTCTGCTGCCTGCACTTTTTTTCAGCCACTTCAGTCTCCGAGTCGCTCATTTCAGCATCGGGGATGTACCCATCATTCTCACTGTCAGGCTTTAGCTTGCTTTTTGCCCTGTCCTTCGGTGAAACTCTGCCCATGCCCAGGTAGGGGTAGCTGGAGTTCTGGCGGCAGGTCTCCTCCGGGCTCTCCCCCTGCTGCTGCCTCTCCCCCTTCTTTGGAATTCGGAATCCGCCCCAGTTTTTCACTGGGCTGGTGGGCGTCGTAGGCACTTTAACTACTGTCTGATTAGAGTTTACTTTGACAAGACCCCCGTTGCATTTAGGCACTATATCCCTCCGCGTGCCAGGTGCTGACCTACCACTGGAGTGGTTCACAGCCCTTTTGTTTTCCGATTGCCTCTGAGAGAGTTCCGTGGGTCTCAGTGGTTTGTGGTTGTGTTTAGAAGTCTTTTCCTTTAGTTCTGCCTTGATCACCTCACACTGTGGACGATTGTCTCTTCTTTTCCTGTGGTCTGGTATAACTATGCCATTTTTCTGCTGCGCTGATACAATCCGTGTTTCTGCAAAGGTCTTGTCAAAATTCAAAAAGCTCCCTGGAGCTGCACCGCCTTCCCTTTGGCTGGGCTGCCTCAGCATGGATTTGCTGTCGTTCCCAGAGCTGTTTCTTACTCTGTCTCTCTTGTGCGATTTTTTCAAGGAGTGGGTTAGAGATGTGCCCATTTGTTTCCTGAAGAACGCAGAATGCCACTTCAGATCCTCGATCTTAGGGGCATTGGGGCCCAAAGATGGACTATTGAACAACACTGTGTTTTCCATTGAGGAGAATGAGGAAGGCACACCTAAATGTAAACAAATTAAGTTAAAGTCAAGCAATTCCACGTTTGGGTAAATACCGCTTTCAAATGTACCTATTTTAACTCTGGTCCTCATGCCCGGTGTGTTCTTCCACATAAGTGGGTCTCTGGTAGCCACATAATATCAGCCATTATGTGGCTACGTCGTGGTTTCACAACATACTGCTGGTGGAGTTTACCTTCCTGTAGCTGTGCTGCACCTAATGACACTTGTAGCAAACATAAATCCTCGCACTACTATGGCCACTAAGACAGAGAGATGATTCGGGGAGGGGGGGGGGAAGCCACCAGCAAGTGCATCTCATCGATTCTGTCTAAAATACGGTTTGTTAGTTACTGAATACTTCAAGGATAATCTAGTTAATGCAATAACTTTGAAGTTATTAATCTTTCTCAGAAAAGACTACTATCAGCGAGATTAGGCAGAAAAACCATGTTGTTTTAAAACCAGAGTGCTACCTTTTTAAAATTCATTTCTTTCAACTGCCATCTATGATGCAAAGAAGCACATACTAAACACTAATGCAGCGGCACTAATAAACCCAGACTTACTAGGTACCATATGGCACTTGAATGTAAGTCATGGTCTCTCTGTCGTAAGGAGCCATTAAAGGATCAGAGCAGAAAGGACCTGAAGCAGCAAGCCCTTCGGTGCCCCATGGATAAGAACACAGGCTCACCAGTTTCTATAGCAATGTGCCCACCATTAGAGCCGCACAGATTGTCATTTTTTTCTCCAACTGCTGATGCATGGTGGACTACACAAGATTTTAATGAGAATAAATGAGGTCCTGTTTGTCCTTCAAAATTAGTCATTAGCCTGTAACCAAACCTTTCAATGTTTGTGCCTGTGGTCTTCCATGAAAAAGATAACCCTGAAGCATACCTGAAACTCTTTCTTGTTCCAACTGCTTTGCGTAGATATTAAATATCTGTTCTTGAACTTTGCAAACAGATCTCTTGATTTTTTCCCTTCGGGTCACCATGTAAGTGAGGTTACGCACCTAGAAGACATCAAGTTGATGAGTTTTACAGGTATTGTGTTTCTAGAATGTTGTCAATCTGTGCTTTGCATTAATTCAGTTTAAGTACTATACACCATTTAAACAAGTTAGTAATGCATTTAAATTTAACCTTCTTCAACACACTTCTTAGATTCTTAAATACCATTTAGTTGACAGATTTGGGAGGGACACAGCACAGAAGTAACTTCTATGAACACCTGAATCATTCATGAGATAGATATATATATATATATAGGAAATCCAGAGAAATGCTGGAAATGCTTAAATATACGCAGTATTAAATAGCCTAGCACCATTTCCTTCTTATTGTTTGAGACACAACAGAAAATTATACTTAATTAATAGCATGAAAACGTGGAGAGCTATTCAACAGTACCAGTCTTTCTGATGACCCTGCCAGTGCAGTATGATTGGTCAAAATGAAGGCAGGCCAGTCTGTTCATGCCATAGCATAATGGAAGTAGCAGGGACTGGAAACAGTAATGAAATGATTATTTATTTATCTCAGGTTTTTTTAGAAGAAAACTACATTTCTGCCCTTGAAATGTGACTGTCTAATCTAGACAGCTGCCTAAGTTTCACCACCACCGCTCTCCTGGAGCTTAGAAGTTATTGCTTTCCTGGATGAGGGAAGTGCCGAGAAGTATACGCGGGTGTTTCCCAGGCTGCTCTCGCAGTTCAGCGTGGCTGCAGACAGCGTGGTGCCCTGTGGGTTACAACCTTGTAGCCTGATCTCACAACCATTGAGGAGGAGACTTTTAACCAGTGCGACTGGTTTTGCTAAGGTCCTGCTCTATTTAAGGCTTCCAGTCCTGGGACAGCCAGCACTTCCAAGTAACTGTCATTACTCTGTGGATTTGAGTTAGAAGGGATTCGTCGAGCCTGGGACCCCTTCTGATACAGTCCCTGGCCTTTTGTTCTTTGCCTTCTCTGATCCAAGCTGCACAGCAGATGCATCGTGTCCACAGAAGTACCTGTTTCATGAGGTAAACTGGATGACACGATTTCAAAACCAGTTTCCGGATGGATGACGCTGTCACTAATGTCATTCATATTCAAGTCCACCCGACTATCTTGAAGAGGAGAAAAAAATGTAGGCCCCATTTTTTATTTTTTTTTTTCCATCCAAGTTCTCTTGGAGGTACAACGAGTGGGAACAACGGAGTAGTAAAACATTAAAAATATTACTAGAAAGACGTATCCTGTTTTGACATGACACTTAAAAATGGATATATACATACAGAATAATTTAAGATCCAGAGAACACAGTGACAAACTCAACTTATTTAGCTGATCAAAGAGAAGATTAAAAGAAATCTTGAGCACACGGAGCAGAAACAAAAGAGACTAGGTAGCAGCTATCGCACCGAGCTAGAAAAGGGTCATGGGCTGGAAGTTAAAACTAGAGAAAAACTTCAAAAGAAAAACTGCACTGATTCATTAGAAGAGTAATTAGCCATCAGGATCCTTTACAAAGAGTGCAGTAGATGCATGAGCACCTGCTCTCCTGATTTAAAGGCTAGATCTTTAAAGACTTTCTGGAAGAAAGGCCCTAGTTCACCCACCAGTTACTGAGCCTGAGGCAGGGCCTCCTGAGCCGGGTTCCGTACCTGGCCTACACAAGCTTGCTGGCTCTAATGTACCTTAACGCGCCACCCCCTCCCCAAAACCAAAAAGGAAGGAATTCAGGTCATTACAGGATCAGATGTACTTAAGATAGAATACCAAACTGATCCTACTGAACTGTTCTTTAAACATTCAAAACGTAACTGAGTGGGATATCACGTGCCTCCAAACCTACGACACAGTCCAGTGAAACATCACCCTACTACGCTGTGTCAATGAAAAACAGATCTGCTGCAAATCAAGGTAAGTTTCATCATCTTGTCCTTCCTGGGCACCAGATGACAGGAGCAGGGAGAGCCCTTAAAGGCTAAAAAAGCTCGGGCTGGGGGATGCAGTACAGTCCACAGCCATCAGAGTTAATCAGTAAAAAAGCATAAGCGGAAATATGACAACCCAGTCATAAGGAGACTGGCTACTACAAGCCAAGACCTGCTGGCCCTGTGAACTAACCCTCTATTTGAAAAGGGTAATTGGTGTGCTCTGTAGAAATCTAGTGTTAACGGTCTTTCCCGACAATACAACCTTGAGTTAAGACGCAGGATGGAGTGCCGGACTGCCAGGGCAGTAACCGAGAGCGTAGTTTGGAAAGTCGGCTAAGGCAGGCCAGCGCACCTCGCACAAGCGCAGGCAGTGCAGTGGCTTACCCGCTCTAGATCCTGCCGGAGGTGCGTGAAGAGCTGCAACCTTCTGAACAGAACGTCCTGTTCCCGTTTAGCCAGATTGTCCTCTTCATCCTTCTTTGGGGTAATCAAAGGCTTATTGAAGTTGGCTTTTCTCTTCAGCTTCCAGTACTGGTAAAGGAATCCCACCGGCTCCTCGGGCAGCCGCAGCGCTTTAGCCACTTCCAAAGACTCAACAAACGTATAAAACTCATCCTCCAGCTGCTGGAGCTTCTGCTTGCGGAGGCTGACTCTGTGGGCCTCCTCCTGGTTTTGATCCATGCTGTGGAAAGGGTCGATGTGGGCAGGAAGAGAGCTGTCCTGAATCCCGTTCCCGTTCTCCTGACCTGGGCTTTCACTGAAAGTCTCGTCATCCGCTTTCTTGGTGGAGCTGTGCTTGGGACAGTATGACTTAAATTTCACCTCATCGTTCTCTGCCAGTATGGTCTTCATCTCCAAGCCACGGTCAAACGCACAGGTGACGTGAAAGGCTGTTCTGCAGTTCTTCACCGAACACTACAGAAATTAAATTAAAATTAATCAAATATAAATTTAAGAAGCCACACTGCCTAAAACTATTCAAGCAGCCAGGACTGCTTTGGAAGAACAACCCTGCTACCACGCTCTGCTTCTAAGCTGCATGTACTTTCTTGCTCTCTTTTAATTAGGTTTACGATTTAGTGCTTTCAGGCTAGGCAACGATCAAGTGGCCCAGTGGGACAGGAGTGGTTAACCCCTCCCTACCCCAATCACGCTATTCAATAACCAGTAAATCCACAAGAGGAGCGTTCTTGCCGTCACCAGAGCCACTCGTGTAAGGCAATGTTACACAAAGGAAAACGTTCCCCCTTTGACTGTGCCAGCATGAGAGAGAGGGAAAAACATCTCGGCGGCTCCAGGCCAGTCTGGTACTTTTAATTAAAAGGCTTTCCCAGCAGCCAGACCCATGCTACCCGAAAGGCCTCAACCAAGGGGGATTTTTTTTCCCTGTTATCCCAATTTTATAATGTCAAATATTAAATCACTGTCAATCACTACTTCACTAACTACAGCCTTCATTTCACCTGGGGAATGAGGAGAACAGGAAATCCAATTTTTTTGTCCTTTTTCTTCCCTCCCAGTGAACCCCGCCATCATGCAGTGATGGGGACTAGTTCAGCTGATTTAGCACTTCATTTCCATTATATGTAACTTTCTCTTGCAAAATGCTGTCATTGCTATTGCCAGCCACAAACTGAAAGGTTTAAATATATATATGCATGTACATACACACACGCATACATATGCATTTGTATCAACTCACACCTCTGCCTCCAGTGAAAAGAAATTCAAGTGGAAATGAACATTAGTGCTATTAATGCGAAGGAAACAAAACTATGCAAACGCAAGTCATCTAACCTTAAAGAGAAACACATTGCGCTAGGATGTTTATACAGTACTTTGTAAAGAAGCCAAGTATCTTTCTCCTCTGGGTTTTCCTGCTCAGGTTGACTCAGCAGCCAGATGGCATATAAAAGTACAACAGAGTGTAAGCTGCAGAAGTTTCAAATGAACATTCTTTAATAAAATCAACAGATAAAAGGAATTAAAAAATACCAAGGCATCTTTTGCCCTTTCCTCTCTCTCACTAACAAACGGGACCAAAGCAGCCCAACTGGAACACCAAACAGTACAGAAGAGTACTTCAGCCACGGTTTCCAAGCTGCTATCATTGAGAATAATCAGCTCTTCGTGCAGCTGATGTTTTATTGGGAGAAGAGGGGAAAGCCTGTCTCATCGGAAGGAAATCTGCTGAACTACACACAGCCTCGTTTTTCCCAGCTTACTGCAGCTGCTCTCTGCCCAGCCTGATGCAGACTTCCAGCTGCCGGGCTTTTTTAATTGCTGTGCACATCTCCTAACATCTCTGGAGGATCTCTCTCTCTCAGTTCATCCAGTTAATGCTACTTCCTTTCTATTGCCATGGCTTTATGTTCTTCTCTGCTGTATAAAATTTCACAACACAAATCTAAATATTTCTCACTGATAGCCTTAATGATACCAAGATTTACACAACTCCTGTAAAATGCCAGGCAAAACTGTAATTTTTTGTCTCTCCCCCGTAATTTCAAATGTAGAACTGTCTGAAGTGGCAGCCATCGTGCCTGCGTGTCATCCTGTGTTGTCACTAGAAGGGGAGAGGTGGTATGAGAAGAAATACGGAAGGACACTCCCCTCTCCCCTGCGCACTGACATACATAAACACTCAAGTGTTCGACTTCAATTACTCTAAGTTACCCCTCAGAACAGGTCTGGAGAATGGACAAAACAACTACCTAACAGCAGCCAAGAGGAAGGGCACAGCTCTGCAAGGAGGTATTACGATTGCAAATTTATATGCTGTGGACAGATTTATTTTCTCTACTTAACATTTACTATTTTATACATTCCTTAAATGGAAACGGACTGATAGGTTTCACTGGAACTACTGTTGCATTGCTGTTTTACAACTTTTTCTGGCAACCTCATCAAATGACTCAGAGCAGAGGAAAAAAGGAAATGGATAAAACCGAATTTTAAAAAAGTGTAGGACTTCAGAAATTTCTGTGTCTTAATGCTGGTCTTATCGGCGTGGATCCTGTAACATTAGGCTAGCCACAAAACAGGAAGAGCTCCACTTATTCAGACTTCTGAAACAGTAATATCTTCCTCTGTCTCAGAGAGCTTTCTGAGGATCATTTTGCTGAAGTATAAGCAGCACTTTGAAGCTGAAGAACGTTACCACAATGCTAAGCTACATTTTACTGTCATCTTCTACACAGCCACAACACTGCCCCGAGTGGGTCACCTGTCCTTATTCTCATCGTTTTTTCTCGAGTACGGTACATCAAAGCTTTGTCCCGTGTCTCAGGAAACCAAGTATCTCCTCTTTCAAAAATCTGGGGCTTGGTAATGTGTTTTCACAATCTCTCTAGATTTTGCAACTGTTCTTAAAATTATTTAACATTTCTGAGTGAAGCACTGCAAAGGATCTCCAAGTGCTTTACAGCTAACAACCCAATATAAATATGCCCGTGAAACCACACTTCCCAGTCTGAAATGCTCTGGTGCAGATCAGCTCAGTTATTTAACAGCAACAATTCACAGGCTACGGTGAGAAAGGCTGAATCCAAATCCAGCTGAAACTGCAGTGAATTTCAGAAGTCTGCAATGAGACAAATTGGCACTGGCCCAAGAATGTGAGTTGTTGGTATGAAACAAATGGCTTTATACTGCTGGCTTTATAGTTCAATTATTTATTGCATACGGAAATCATTCTTTTTGGAACCATGAAGACTAGACATTTGTTTTGATTCTGCCCTGTCTTGCTGTTTCGAGCAGTCATCACCCCTGAGCTCAAGTGAGTACCAGAAGTCAGAACGGTAACGTGGCACTGCTGCTACAGCAACGGGAACTGGGAAACCCACGCCCAGGAGGCTTCTCCCCCCTTAGAAACACCAAGAGCTCCAGAATCTACCCACAACCAATGGAGGAAATGGGGCTCATTTCCTCAGCTTGTGGCTTGCTTGAATCTCAGAGCAGACCAGTCAAACAATCTGTTTCTTTCCTACTGCTCAAAAAGCCTAATATTAAATGATTGGATATTCTCCTCAGCAACTTAAAAGCTGGACCAACAATAAAACAGTTACAGAAAAAATAGTTACAGCCAAAACAGTCCGATGTTAAGTAGTACCTAAAATTAGAAATTCAAAGCTACAACTAGCTTTATCATCAAAGTGAAGGTGTTCGCTTCCACTGACTTCACTGAGAGCTGGGCATGCCCAGCACCTTAAAAGTTCAGGTTGTTACAGGAAATACTCAACTCCCACCGAGGTATCCCACTTGTCTTAGAAGCTACTAAACAGGGACTAGCAGATGGGTTTCAGCACAGAAGCTTTCAGCATTCAAGTTTCATTTTTGTATGTGGTGCATCACAGAAATATAGGTTTTTTCCTCTACTCAACAACATTTAAGTTTTATTTCAGTGTACTAATAAAGGTATCAGCGTATCTACAAATTAGGAAGTCTCATGGGATGACCTGCCTATTATTAAGGTTTTACTAGAAAGTAAGAGCACACAAACATTCAAAAGCACTTTGTGTGCAATTAAGTCCATTGTAACAAACAGGAAATCAAAGTTTACTGCGGATGCAGATTTTGTGTATCTATTAAAAGCTGACAAAACAAAACCCAAGGACATTTGTGCGATTAAATTACCTGTATAGATGCTCCAACTTTTTCATTACAAAGGCTGCACACCAGTGCCCATCTACTGCTGGGAATGTGAGAAACCTTGGTAATGGGCTCCATTTTTTCTGGGCTTCCAATGCTCACCTAAGAAAGGAAAAGTTAAAAAACACAGAGTGACTATAGCACTGTTAACTGAAAAGGGAAACAATTTTATCAAAGAAATCAAATTCCTTGCGTGCATGTGCAAAACGTTCCAAGTTCCTCAGTTTATAAGGAACTAAAAAAATGAAAATTCCTTTTTTAACAAATCAGTTCCTCCCTGCATGAACAAAACAGTTTCAAGGTGAAGCCCTCCAATTTAAAATTATCATACAGGATGAGTATTTTGATTACGAGAACCCACAGGAATTCTCACTGTCACATCCAAACCTTCCTGATTCACCTTTAATGTTCCATTTACAAAATAAAACGGTACTTTGTGTGCTTGTTAAATGAGCTTTGCCATCAGCAAAGGCCTAATTTTGGTTGACAAAGGTAATGTAATTACTTTCTTTGCAGATGATGCTTCATCCTGCCAGACTTTACATATAATTGAAAATCTTTTATACTGTCTTCCTAAGTACCATATATATGCTACACTCGGTGTAGCAACACGCACTAGGTTGAACAATGTTTTAAATAGATTTCTTCTCTCCCAGAGTCACTGCAGGCCTGAGCTCCCAAAGGGTCAGCACCTACCTCTGGAATCCACAGAGCACAGCTAACGTGGACCCACTTGGTGCCACTCCGGGTCGGCTTCATGGCACCACCCTTCTTGGGACAGAGCAAACACTTGGGCTGAACGCCAAGCGCGCAGGTCCTGCACAGCCAGCTGCCTTCCGGCACCTTCAGGATCCCGTAACATGCCTGTATTCCCATTTACAGAAAAGGGAAAGAAAAAAAAGGAAACAACATGCATTTCTGTTACTTTTTAGCTGTTTACGCATAGCCTCTCACAACTCTCCAAATGTTCTTTACAGAATTTCTAACGCTATAGAACCATTAGCTTGTGGAGGATCTCAGGACGCTTTCATAAACTTAGCCAACCACATTGCCCATTCTTTCCCCAAAAAGATCTTTCAGTGAAAGGAGCAGAAGTCATGACCAGCTGTTATGCAGCAAACCACTGCCCACTTCAGCTGCGAAAACGAAGAATGTGTTTGCCAGACCAAAGAGCAAGGGGGCTCCTGACAGACAAGCCTGACAGCAGTGAGCTAGGATGAAGTTCAGTATCACAAAGTCTACAAGTAACAGGAACTGGCCTGTATCTAATTCAAAAGGCAAGAACCACAAATTCAAGAGCTCTGCTGTGCAATACTCAATGTTATTCCAAAGCATTGGGGTTTACTTCTTATGCAGAGGGAAAAGTGCAGAAACAGCAACTAATTAAGACCACTTTTTTCAGAGGACTGCATCTTTATGGAGACCTCTGGCCAAATTACTGTCCATTTTAACCCTCTTAAGTTTCAGGTCTGATGTGATCAGAGACTAAGGATCAGAGAACTGCTACAGGTCTGAAAACATCCGCTCTATTCTGAGTATCTTGCAAGATAGCCATTTGTACCTTACAGCTGTCATAGGCGTATTTCTTTATCATTAGCACAAATGCATTTAAGTAACACACGCAAGAAAATGCCATTCTTGCTCATTGGACAACGCAGTTTTCCGAACACTGAATGACAAAGCAAACTTCTTAAAGCTGGGAAGGAAGACAGGCTGACAGGAAGGCATCTACCACAGTAAGTAGCATCCACGGAAACAGATATGCTAAAATTGTATCTGTTATTTCATGCTAAGAGGACTTTTTAACTGCCACAAAAAGGTGGCCCATAATAGTGCTTCATTAGCTCAGCTCAGGTCAGTAGGTTCTCCATGAAATTAAAATGACTATAATAAATCCTACCTGTGTCCCTACTGATTGCCTCTCTGCTGAGCCTAAGTTGCTGATACTAAAGGTGTGTTAGCCCCCGAAGCGTGCAGAAAGAGAGGAAAAGAATATAGCAAGGGAAGTGACCAGGGGAGAATAAAATGCACAGATGTATGTTTTGGGGGGGCTATTCCTCACCTTGTAACTTCCTCCACACAGACACAATACCACTTTTAACCCTCTTAGCATGACATTTCTAGAATTACATCTCACAATTCTCCTCAATTATGTAATTTCTGAATTCCTCCCACCGCTCAATGGTGAACTCTGCAAGAACTTAACAGATCAATGTCTGTCACTGGAAAAAATCCAACCTGTTATCTTTAATGGTTTGGAAAAGTTTCTGTCCCCACCCCTACACTCCCCCACTGTACCCTGGCCGCTGTACCTGGTGCACACAAATATTGCATTTGTCACAAAACACCATTTCGTTGCCATCCTCTCCATCTGGAGACTGACAGACGTCACAGACAACATCTTCATCATATTCGATCCCAAGTCCTTCTTCCGTCTCGATAGCATGATTCATGTTATCGTAGCATCGTTGTTCAAACTCCTCTATGACCCTTTCCATCGTGTACTCGTCCAGCTCAGGCATCCCTGGGAAACAGGAATTGTTACTTACTTAAAGGAAAAAGTGATAACCACCACCACACACAACTCCAGCTTCTTTTTTAACAGCTGAGTAGGTACGGCCGACCCCCGCACGTACACATGTCATTCCTAGACAATCATGCCTATTCCAGCATAAACTAGGGAAACTGGAAAAAAAAAAAAAGGCAAAAGAGTCTTAGAACTGTATTAAACTAACAGAAGTGGAGTATCCAAACCAATCTTTCAAAATCCTGAGAAAAACTTTCCTAAACTGATTTTGGCTTCCTGGTCTTGTTCTCATTTTTCCTTCTGGGACAGCGCTGTCTATGGCTTTTGCTTCAATTTTGCAACCCAGATGTTGACTCTTTGGTGAAAGATTTGAGTGTTTTGAACCGAAAGCGATGGGGGCAGAGGGGGGAAATCAATGACAAAATCTGCTATGATACTTGTAGCAAACTTGCAGTTTCTAACAACAGTTGATTTTTTGACAAGTCCCAACCCAACAGGGTGCAACCCCAATCGAGGTCTCCCTCAGACCCTGCTGCACCAATAAATTAGTTTGTTTTAAAAAGTGAAAAACACAATGCAACATCAAATCTGGGACAATAAATAAATGCAACATCTAATCTGGGATTTGGTCTTTTCAAACAGCATCCATCAGAAAATTTTTCATGATACCACAGCTACAGGCTGATTACATTATAGTATTCTATAATTCAAATTTGTTAACTGTATTAAATTACTATTATAGACCCAAAAAAATATCTATCATAGAAGCAGCAAGGAAAAATCAAAGAAGAGCACAGTGCTTCCTTCCCCCTCTGGCTTCCATCTCTCACTTGCGGTGACAATGAGCTGGCTGTAATAGTTCCAAGTTGGTACTACACCAACCTTTACCACAAAATCATGCCACACAAACACCTGTGAAACCAAGAAAGCTACGCTACTGCAAACAATCATTTTCCTCTTGCAAAGTCAGTTTAACACAAGCATTTCCATAGACTTAAATCACTACAGTGAAGTGTAGGCTTAGGATATCCTGCTTTTGTTCTAATTCCCAATACCTAAGGTTTACCGTGACATACAGAAGATAGCAACCTCCTGATGGGTGTTTTAACAAGAAAATCCCCCTTTGGCTCTCCCTGTGAATAACTGAGCCACAAATTCCACAAAACAAAGAAGAAAAAAAACCTCTCTAGCTCCCCCAGATCAGAAGACAAACACTACAAAAGTACTTGCAGCTTCCCTTACTGGCAGGTAAACCCTTGCAGCAGAGATCAATGCATCCCACACTACCCGAACTGAGCAGCTGAAAGGTAGCAAGAGGGAACATCCAAAATCCTGCTGATGAAAGAGAGCGAACTTTGCCCTGCAGCCCAGAAATACTGCACCAGCAAAGCAGGTGATGGCAGGGTTTAGACCAGTTTGCAACTAAATTCTAACCTCCCGATTGCTAGCACTTTCTAAAAAACCCTTAGAGATATGTCATTGACTGTGCATTTGTAAGGGTTAAAAAAAGGGAATCAAGGGACTGCGGCTTCAGTTCAAATGTTTACGTTCGTTCTTTTAAAGACAGAATATACATTTGCAGTACCTGAAGCACTCCAACAGGTATCAAAGAAAACACAGGGAATTCATAGCTGCAGGGACACCATAAAGGAAGTGCTACAACTGCAGATGAGGAAATATTTCACTTTCCAAATGCCCATTAACAATATCTGTAGAGTGCAGTGTCTGACAGAGCACCCAGGTACATATTTCAAGACCCACAATGTACTGCCTGCTACTGACAGGAGCATTTCCTTCCCTCTGCATACAGCAAAACTGAGTGGATAAAGATTCAGAGCAAACGAACTACAGAAAACTACACCAAAACACAGCATCAAAGATTAGATCTGTCAAATCCTAGCTGTGCAGCCTTTCACGTGCAACGTGTACTTTTGAAGGATATGTTGGTGTAGCAGAATGGCTACCACAAGGCTTCACGCACAGGTACAAATCTGCACAATGAAGAGCCCCTCTTGTGCACTTTATCACTAATGTTATCCACCTCCCCAGCATAACACTGTGGTACCCCTCCTCTGGTTTTGGCACAAGACAGACAGACTGAGGCGATTATCTACATTGGACAGACTGATATCAATTACAAATCATAAAAAGTATTTTTAATTTTTCTTTGAAGAAAGCTCAGGGGACTTGCTGCTGCTGTTTTCCTGACGATAACAGGAAAAGTAACCTAAACTCTTAAATCATGAACTATTTTGAAATCACCTAAGCCCAAACACTAATCCTGAGCAGGCCTGACTTGAGATCTGGAAAAAAGGCGTGGGTAAGAGACCAGGTCAAGGCTGGGTTTGAAACGGAGAAACTTCTGAAGAGTTATAAATGGTCAGTTTGTGGTTTACCAGGTCTTGAGCCACGCCATGTATGGGCTACAGCCAGGTAAAACCCGTATGACGAAACTGTAACCCAAAGCAGGGAACTGCCACAATTCTAAAACAAAAATGAACAATGTTCACCAACATGTCCAAACCTTTTCCGTCTGGCACAGCATCTTTTCCCTTATCTAAACAATGCGATAAAAGTTCTGTGCTGACTTACATCCTCTTCAATTCCACTGAAATCCTCTCCTGAAGCACACACCTTACCAAAGAAACGTTCCTCTTCTTGCCCTGCTCCCCTACCCCTTCACACGCACAAGCCATCCTGTAGAAAAGGGAACAGTTGCTCCCCTTTGACAGCTCCTCTTCCTGCTTTGGAATTGGAGCACACCGTCACAGCAAGGTTTAGGAAGTTCCTCCAATAAATCACTGCAGGAATTCCTTACTGTCTCATTCCCTGTGCAGCTGGCGTAGGTTCTCTAAACTTCCCAAGACTCTTTGTCTACCTTCTTCGCACTGAACGCCACTAGCTAAAAAGATGATACGGGTATGTGACACACAGAAAAATAAATAAATAAATAAGTAAAAAGGGCTAACTGGAAAAACTACCTGAATGGTCTATCTGATGTTCTCTTCAAGTACCTCGATAGCAAAATGGGAACTTTGTGAGAATTCCCTTATGAAATGGAGAGAAGCAGAGAAAAAAAAAAAAACCAAACACGTGACCAGATTCTGACCTGTCTAAGCAGATACAACTCAGCAGTTACGAAAGTATATATCTTAGGGCTTAATCACATCAGGTCTGGTTTGCCACAGCTACCCCAACTCATATGATTACTATCTCTTCATACCTCTATCATCTCTTCCCACTGCTGCCCTTCTTATTCTTAAGTCTTATTCTGAAGACTGCCAGCTTTAAAAAAAAAAAAAAAAAGGGCGATAAGAACACAAGCACTCATTGCTCACCCATTTCTTTGAATTCTTCATTGGCCAGCTGCAACCATGCTACGTCCACATCATTGAGATCGTAGCGACACACGCTGTCTGCTAAGGTTCGAATGTCAACGTAGCCCAGCTCTGGAGGCTCCGAGCCTGATGAAACAATATACTTCCTGGGACGTGTAAAGGTGACAGCTTTCATCTCAGACACAACCCTAAAACAAACAGACAAGCAGATGTCAGGTACGCTAGGCTGCTGAGAGACTTGTTTCTAGAGAATTCAAAATGCCTCATTCTAAGCGACTAACAATCATCAGCAATCATCTGACCATCTAAGCAATCATCTTGCACCACTGAGATGGGAAGAGAGATTGGCAGTATTATAAGACATTAATTGGAGTTGTCTAGAAACCCAATTCTTTACCAGAATTCTAAATAAAATAAAAAGATTAGAGGATAGAGCTGTGCTTACTCTTACCTGAAATTCACGCTTGTTTAAAGCTAGAGTAGGAACGCTGTATTTATGTAGCGATGGCTGCCATATACACAGATGTTAAACTCCATTTTAAGACTTTTTTTAAATCCATCTGTTTAACTACAATACCAAGATCAAGAAAATTCAAGGAAAAAAGTACTATTTCCTGCTACATTTGAAGTTTTCTTTCTTACAGTATGTTTCTTCTGAATTTTTTTTTGGTGTGTGCGTAGCTATGGAATTGCCATCTTTGTGAAATTCAGAAGACCTTTCCACAGAGAATCAGTAATTTGCACTAGCTTCACCTTCACTTACCCAAGCAGATCCAAGCTCTGGCATCCTGGGTCTGCATTTCCTCTTTGACAATCACTAATGTCATGCTGGGCCAAGCACAAATATTAATCAGCCGCTGCTGAAACTACCTTCTCTCAGGTTTTGGAGGCTCCAGCTGGCCAACAACCAACAACGAAAGTGTCTTTTAGCTGCAAGCCAACTGAAATTTAGTTCGACCACAGGCATTGATTCAGGAAACGGTAAAGTACCTACAGCACGTAACCTGTTCTAAGTTAGATTCCTGCAATGCTGCAACTTTGCAAAGCCAGGAGCTGGGGGCAAAACCACCTGATTCACAAAGGACAGCAGTCATTCCACCAGCAAGCTGGTCACTTGCCCCCAAACAGCAAGATAACTCTGTCAGTCCACCTGCAGCACGGTTCTCTCGGCAGAGGACACTGTGCCTTCTCTTAGTTAACTGCACACACTGAAGTTCAGTTTGGATGAAACCCACTTCACGATGTAATGCTGGTACCTCCAGGAGCGACACGGCACACTGCCAAATGACTGGCTCCGGCAGCACCAGCGTTGATGATTTTTTGGTGCTTTAGTGCTACAAGGGAGGAGATAGCACCACTCCGTGTAGACACAACTTTCTGCTGGGAACAGCCTAAGCTCCACAACAAGCAGGACATCCTCCACCCTATTTTGCCCCCATCTGAGGTCCAACAAGTTAACTCCTCCTATCAGAAGACCCTGATCTGCCGCTACTGTATCCGCACACATAGGTCTCAGTAAATCCTCTACCTATTTCAGCCTCCTGCACAGCTCTAAATCTTCCCCTCATCTAGTGTATTTCAGATAACAATCCAAGAAATAGTGGGCAAGAGCCAAACACTGAATTTGGGGTTTCTGAGGTGCAGAAGGGGACTGTGGAAGAATACGAATCCGAATCATCTGTACCGTAAATTCCTTCCTGAGTACCTCTCCATGTGGAAATCATAACCTCTGGGCAGCATCCTGCATGTGCTGTCTAAATACCACTGTAGTGGCACAGAATAAACAAGCACAGGTAGTTTGGCTTCAAAGCAAACCACCTTCATCTCTTTATTTCTGTGACAGAAAGAAGTAAGAAATAGCAACACTTACTACATACCAAAAAAACACATTCAACTGAATTATCCATCTGACCGCGTGCTTACACTGAATCACCACACGGACTCGCTCCTTTCCCCACCCCTCTGAACCTGCTCTTGCTGCCCTGACCAGTCGCTACAAGGCCAAAACCTTTTATTCTCTACTACGTACCTCACTAGCATCAGCTATCCATACTATATTTTACTTCTGTCCTACACCACCTACTATTTGACTATGGCTGATTCAATTTACAGAACATCTCCCTCCCGTCCCAAAGTTAAGCACAGAAGAGTTCCAGCACTCCAGCACCACCACAGCAAGGCTCTCCAAGGGTTTTGTGAGGTAGCAAACAGGATAATAATCAAGCATCAGAGGGCCACTCTGACCCGCAGGTACTCATCAGTAGGACCATACAAGATAGCTCAGCAACTAAAAAAAGAGTGGTGCCTCCTTTGCTGATACCTACAACTGCAGGTGCCTTCTTTCCCT